AAAGAGTAGGGCAAGAACCAGACCAGCTGGAATGACAGAAGTTCCAGTGTGATAGAATGAAGCTTTTCCCCTATTTGGACAGTTGAGCAGTAGGAGTATCCAGGGAGGTTTGGAGACTTCATCCTTGAGGCTTTTCAAGACCTGGCTGGGTGAAGATCTGAGCACCCTGGTCTGATCTCACAGACAAGCTGGCTCTGAGCAGGATGCTGGGCTCAAGACCTCCAGCTGTCCCCTCCAAGCCTGAACTGCTCTGTAATTTGGTGTTTCTTTTGCATTTCAAACCTGGCTAATTAGCTTTCTTTATATCCACATTAAACCATTGACCTTGCTCTCACTGTATTCCATAGTTGTGGAAGGGGGGTAAGAACATCTTTAACATCCAGGAATTATTTGTTTGGATGATCAAACCACACTCAGTAAACAACATTTCTAACAGGTTTTATACGTGAAGATAAAATAGAGAGGTGGGGGATGGTCTCTCCTGCTGTGGTTGCAGGGAGAGGACTGGAGGGAATGGTCATAGGCTGAGACAGGGGAGAGTCAGATTGGATGTTAGGAAAAATGTTTTCCCTGTTAGGATGTGCAGGCACTGGAATATTGCCCAGGGAGGGGCTGGAGTCACCACCTCTGGAAGTGTTAAAGAGGCATCTGGATCTAGCACTGGAGGATATGGTTTAGGGGTTACAGCAGCGACAGGTTAATAGTCAGGCTTGATGATCTTAGAGGTCTCTTCCAACCCTGATGATTGTATTCTATGATTTTATGATTTTTCAGGACACCATTTTGGGCTAAAACACAAAAAGACTGATATTGAAATGTTTTCATTTGATCAGTTTGAAAATTAAGGAAAGGCTTCATGCCAGAGCTTTAATCTGAGTCTTCACAGGGCTCGGGGTAATTGCTGAAATCTCTGGCTGTTTTCTGTGTGCCTTGCTGAGTGACAGGCAAAATGCTGAACGCCCTGGCAAGTCTTGCATCCAGCTTTGCAGATCTTGGAGTTGATTTCTGTGCTCTTCAGCTTCATATAGACTTCAGTTCATACTCAAACCGAGGGACTATTTTCTTTTCATTAACTTATCCCTTCAGTTTTGATTGCTGACAGATATGGGACTGCATTCATGACCAGCTTATAGAAATTCCAGTTGAATGTAACAGTGGAATAGAGTCATTAAAGATACTACATAGTCCTCTTATTTCTAAGTAATTTTAATAGCTACAAATCAAGTTACCCACAGTGCTGTTCGCTGGTGCTTATTGAATTGTTGCCTGCTGGTGGCCAGGCTAAGTTGATTACATGTCTGGAGACTGCTGCTTCCTTCGCACGGCTTTTGTCAAGGCAAAGCTCTGCTGATGGTTCAGAAGTAGGCATGTGCTGTATTTCACACAGGGTCATATC